ATGTTAACGCAGTAAGCACAGTGAAGGCTTCCGTGTTCTACGTCCGAATGCCGGCTCATTATTAGCCAAAGCTGCACATGTGAGCTGCGCGACGCATGCGTGTGACGCTGATGCAGGAGCCGTCCAATAATGAGCCGGCGTTCTGACGTAGAACCTGGAAGCGCGACCCATACAATGTATTTTTATCAATGTACTACAAACATACCTGTGCTACTTATGGCTGGTTTTGTGCTCCAGGGTCACATATAAAAAATGAACTTCACTTTAGTTTTTATGACTGTACATTTACAATATACGTTCTAAAATAATCTAAAATATATTTCACTACAGGGACAGTCCCATTGACCTACAGTAGTGTGCTTCTAAACAATGGTGGTAGATTATGAAGCATATCTTCTGAGGTTTGGACTAACTTCCTGTCATTTAGAAATCATAACCCTCATCTTACCTCAAGTCACACAAATACCTTTACAGTTCCTGATCTGAATAGATCAGATTCCCATCAGATTCCCTTTCACTCTTTTGTTTATCAAAACAGAATGCTATACGATAATGTGTGCCTTTGCTTTCTGAATTTGTTTGAATGTACCAAGAAAAACAGAAACACGTGTTTTCTTGACAATACAGCAGTCGTCTGTTGTCAGGAAATTGTGAATATATGAGGAAGAAAGAAAACCTAACATTGAGAAAACAGAGGCTGTGTCAGTGGGAGCCAACAAAAGTGTGCGGGCGAGAAGGAAATATACTTCTAGTAGAGAAGTGAGACTTCCTGAGATGACAGTTACAACATTTTAAAGTCCCATCCCCCCCTCTGCCCTGCACACTTGCTGCACAGAGGTTAGCGTATGCATTGATGATTTAAATCACTCTCTTTTCACCCTTCCTCTTCCTGATATTCTGCTTTCAGTCTCTATTAGGCAAATACAGGATGAACTGAGTAGCCTACAAAACTGAAGTGACTAATATGTTAAAGTAAATTAGACTTACCTCCATGGTTTTCTTATATAATGACACTTTGGTCTTCTGAACCTTTTCCATAACCCCTTCAAACTGTAAAAAGTAAACATTTGATAGATAAGTGCTTGATAGGTAACACCTTTTTTAATAAAGCAATAGTACACTGGTGTCAATGGGGCGGTACAAAAGCTAAAAGGTACTAATATGTAAACTAATATAAAGTACTAATATGTACTAATATACCATTTAGGGGTAAAAAAAAAAAGCTACAAATATGTGCCTTTTAGCTTTTGTGCCACCCCAGCTTTTTTCTGAGAGTGTAGCGGACGCGAGGTGTTAAGAAGCATCTTGGTTTGAACACAAGTACAGTACTCCGTTTTTGTTCACCCAATTTTAAACATAGAATAAACATGTGAGCAAGTGGTTTGCGGTTCTGCAAATGTAGATTAATTAAAGCATCACATGACATTTAACCTTTTTTCGCTGCTCCTTTTGTCGTTCTCTGAACTGCTCCATTCGTTTCGCCTCTTCTCGTAACATCCCCGAGAGCTGAATGTGCAAATTTCCGATGTCCTCCATTTCTAGGTGAGAAAAAAGCATATTCATTAGTGATCTTGTAGGTTTGGGTTTAGTTAGCAGATGTAGCTGATACTGTTTATTCCTTACTTTCTTTAATATATTTCTCAGTGTCACTTAGCAAATATATATTTGAAGTGTTACTTACGGGCTTTTAGCTGGTCAAATGATGCCTTCAAAGTGCTACAATACCAAAGCAATAAAAACAAAGATAAAAAAAAAAGACTCATGCTCACAAACCTTTATTTGTATGCAAAATTTTAAATCCAGAAGCCAATTTATACTTTAATAAATATATTTTAAAAATACATACAATATTTTCTTACCCAATTTCACTTTGCCCTCCTGTCTTGCGTGCAATAGTAATCAATTCCTTGCCGTACCGTTCCTCTGCCATCGCTCTACGAGTAGAAAACTGCATTGTTATCCAATCCAATACAGCTCAATACTTTTAACCAATGCTACACAGTGCGTCTTGTAGAAATCAATATAAATATGCAATTTTCAGTTGTTACCTCATTCTTAAGAGCTCCTCCATATCTTTGCAAGCTCGTCGTCCATCACATAGCCTCTGGATAAGAGTCTCATATCCGGTGTTACTGGTGAATTCTGGGCCCTGGAGCCATGAGGATTAGATTATATTTCTCCAGTAACAGGATTGTTTATTATAACATGATTAGGTTGAAAAAGAAAAAAGAGATTCCATTTCGATATATCTCTGTGCATTTCAGTTTTAATCCTGAATTAGGCCTTATTTGAAGAAGTTGGTATCTATGCAAAAATAATATGTGGTACCAGACTGTCTGAGGTGGTTAAACAGTTTAATCATTTACTGTGCTTATTGACATGGGATGCTATATTAATGGAATATTAATAATATTAACATGGAACGCTCCTTCGTTTATCTCAACAATCTTACATTTTCAACAGAAAGAAAACAATAGTACTATTTTTACATAACTATAGAATATATTTTACATGCACCTTCAACACTGAACAGCACTAGCATGGTTTGACAGGCAAATCAACCCAGAAGCTGCTTTGTAGATAGATGCTCTGACAATACAAGATCAAAGCTAAAAAGAGGATAGAGTGGGCACACAGTCAAACGCTCAACAGGAAGCCCACAGATCATCTCCATGACACAATATGAGGATGTCTAAATATAAACCCTCAACCCTCAAATGTAGAGAAGTATTTTTTGTTAAAAAAGGCAAAAATCCTATTCCTAAAAATCTTACATCAAAATCTTAAAAAAACAAAAAATCATTCTTAGTTTGAAATACCATCAGTGTCTTATTTAAAGAAACAGTAATTCCTGATACAAATGAACGAGAATGGCAGTGCACAAAAAATTCTGAGATTTGATAAGTGGACCAAGGGTATTGTGATGCTAGTGTATTATTGGAAGGTAAAGACACATTACTATATGCAGTATTGTTAACCTCAGTCATGTCAGCCCTAACAGACAACAACGTTCAATCTAATCTGTCAAAATAGCTCAAGTCATGTACTTACCCAAAAAGAATCTTTGAATTGTAACGGTGTCATTTCACAGGCTGCTTTTAGGAATGTTGCAAGCACACAGAAGGAAACAAAACCGGAATGAAGAAAAATGAAAGAACTGACAATACCATACGCAGGGAAACCACTGTTCACAGTACACCCGTAGTGCTCAGGTTTGACTGAGATGAGGAAGCTCTCTCCTATATGTCATTGACCACAGAGAGCATGGCCGACAGATAATACGCATGCACTCAGCAGCCATTTGAATACTAGATAGGATGGAACATCTCAAACAGTGGGCTTTTGGAAAATATTAAAGAGTCAGTCTTTAGGTGTCAAAGAGATTTGGAGCAAACAAAGCCATCGAAATCTAAGCAGAGTTGAGTTGAGTTGTTTCTTCATAACTGCAGAAATAGCGAGGTGGTAGCAGTTAAATTGATTTGAATATCTTTTGACTCCAAGCGACAGCACAGCAACTGTGTGTGATAGCTACGGATTTTATATAGAGAGGGCCAAAAGAAAAGTGCATCTAATACAGCTTAGTTCAAACAAAATACAATTTCTCAATAGTTAATCTATTTCACTAGACAACACCACCCTGCATCATATTAGCTGAATGAAATCCAATCCTACGTGTTTCTTACTAATTTTGCGATGCCGATTTCAAAAATAGTGCTCGTTTTGCTCTAGCATGTCCCACTTTCTCATAAAATGTGCTTTTCATAGCATTTCTGCTTTTGACAACCATTTGTAAGGCGAAGAAGTCTTGTATTATCCTTTAATCACGAGATAAACTGACATGAATACATGATTCCTATCCTCCACTGAGCCAGGTTATAACTATTTGTTCAATTCTCAGCCGATTTTCACTTGTATGAATGATTCTGGAAACATTATTTTATGCCTAATCCTGATTTCAAGGTTAAAATTGTGGCCTGTGAAAGAAGAAAATGCAAACATGACCCTGACGTTTTCTGCTACTGTACATCTTTGGGTGTTTTACTACTGTACATCCAAAGACGTGACGTAAAATTACAGATTTTATGAAAAAAAAAAAGCTTATTTATAAGCTTGCATAAATATATTTTTACTTTTTTTTTGCAGATTGTTAGTTAAATGGTTCATTTTGAATACTCTTTTGTCATTACAAGCAAACCTCTTGTTGATATGTGCATTAAAACGAATGTTATGTTGTGAAAAAAAACTATATGGTGGAAAGTTTTTATTGATATTTTTGAACTCAGCATCATTATGAGTTCATCATATCATTTTTGCAAATCAAGATGCAGGGCTGTGTAATAGTAGTGTGCCAGTTACATGTTATCTAATAAAAATGAACTTTTAAAAACTCAAGTAGTCTTTCTTTGTGGCACCATAAGAGCTATTTATAAAAGGTTCTAACTATTACAATTCATCATGTGGCACATGAAGCTGTCTGCCGTAATCAGTCACTTCACTGTTCATGAAAGTGTCTTGGTTTTTTAAAATCTCTGCTTCCGAGAGTCTTCCATCACCATCTTGGTCCATTTCCTTGATCAGATGAATGGCCTGTTCAACATTCAAGGGGAAAAAAGTGTTTAGAACATCTGGTTAAAGATGCAAACAAAACATTAGCGGACAAATGGCACATTGACTGACTTCTTCTCGTGCCGAGCCATAGCTGTTGGGAGCGACCCAGCGGAGCTGTTCATCCCTGTTGAGTTTTCCATCCTTATCCTGGTCATAGAGATCTTTAAAGCGCACCGTTTCCTCAACCTCCCACTGCGAGGGCTCTTCCTGCTCTTAAACACAGACAAGCAAACTTACATGTTTCTGATCATAATTTACCACACTCCTGGCAAATATCTAGATGTTAACACCTCACATATATCTGTATAGCAAAAGAACCTAATGGTAAACTATGTGATTGATGTAAGAATGCACAATATATCTGTAAAAAAAAAAAAAAAGGATGCACAATAGATCCGTAAAATATTAAATTCTACAAAAATGCTGATAATTTAATAGAATTGCCAAATGTAATGTTTAGCACTTTTCATACTGTACATTAAAATGTTATTATGCCTACATTCAACTGTATTTAAAACTTTTGATTTTAATTTTTCAGTTTTCTTCACTATTCAGACAATATAGTGCAGAAATTTTATTTCACCCATTTATTGGTTATTGGACTTTTTTATAAATCACTAGTGTAATGACAATATATACTGCTATTTATCCCAACATAGTCATACCTAGGGTGACCATACGTGCCATTTTCCCAGGACGCGTCCTGGCCAGGATTTGTTTTGGCTTTGTTTTCCTGTTTTCATGCTTGCTGAAGGTAATGATCGAAAAGTAGTTTGACCAATAACATGCAAGCATTGTACATAATTGACCAATCATGGCGTGTGAGAAGGTGGGATCTACGGTCAAAGCGATGCAATTACGCATACATATTAGGTGTGTTCGACTTAAAAGCAGCACGGCTCAGACCGATCAGTGTTTGACATCAAAGTACCTCGAGAGCGTTTCGAAAGCATAACCGTCTGTATGGTACTTTGATGTCATACACCGATCGGTCTGCACACGCAAACAAAGCCAAAACCTAGATATTTTAGGAAATATAGAAATCCTGGCCAGAACGTGTCCTGGGAAAATGGCACGTATGGTCACCCTAGTCCTCTTCTTCGTCTTCACTGACTGTTTTGTTTGAAGCGTGCATTTCTGTGGTAAGAGCGATCTCTATTAATATCATTATGGCGAGCACTAGCAAAGCGTTTAGAGGTAGTCATACCATTTGCTCTGAGATCTCCAATGAATTCACTCAAGCAGATGAATCCATCTTTATCCAAGTCATATTCAGAAAGCACATCTTCAATGGCAAAATCCTGGGGTAAATGCAACCACAAAGCACACAGTTAACATGAATGTTTAATCTTTAATTTACTACATCTTCACTTTATACTTACAGCCATGTGGTCCACTTCAGACGGATGAGTAAACGCAAGGAACTCAGTTAAGTTCAAGGCATCTGAGCCATCCATATCGGCAAAGTCAAAACGTCTTTTTTCCTTTGCATGGAGCTGTGAGTGAATACAAATTTTTTTTTTCGATCACGCAAGACCTTTCTTTGCTGTTCCACAATATGAAATGTTAATAAATTATGCAACATACAAATCTGAGAGACTCCTCCTCGGGGTCTTCAAGAACAGCATCTACATCAACTTCCACAGTATGACCATGCAAGACCATATTGTATTCGTCCCAAGATACCAGACCATCATTGTTGGAGTCAAACTCAGGGAAGCGTTCCTCAGCATCATCCAACGCATATGTCCTGTACACCCTCTGTATCCATAATGTGATTTCCTCTAGAGAAGCAACAGAAAATGTTTCTTGAGCGGCAAATCAATATATTAGAATGATTTCTGAAGGATCATGCGACACTGAAGGCTGGAGTAATGGCTGATGAAAATTCAGCTTTGCCATTACAGGAATATATTACAGTTTAAAATCTTTTAAAATGAGAGACAAGACATTGGAGTCAATCAAACCAGAACTGACCTGGAGTCAAGTATTTATCAGAGTTGGTGTCAATCTTCTTCACTATCTCCACCAGTCGCTTTCGCTGCTCAGATGGGCTGAGTTTCTGTATTTCATCTTTGTCCTGAAAAACAGTGATAGTTAGTTGGTAGAATGAAACTGGGTTAGGAACTGTTATTAGGAACCATAGTGTTGATACCTCTGAAACAAGGAACATATTTGCATTATGTTCATGGTTATGTTTGCCTAAATGATCCTCTTGGACAATTTGTTTTCCGATTGCTCCTGATGCACAACAAGCCATCAACAAGAGAGTTGTGTATCTAATCTCTAAACCTGATAAACACACAAATACAAACAAATTAGACCCCATCGTTGATCTTGAGTGCCCTCTTGTGATGGGATGGGCTACAAATTTCCATGTCAAAGCATCTTGATGGTAAGGAAAGAAAATGGGTTCAAATTATTGCAGTCTGTAGCCAGAAAATGAATTTAAATAAAACGATGCATAACACACAGTATCTCATTTTGTGGTAACATGATTATCTGATATTGTGGGACGCATTTTAATTTGCCTGTCACTAACCGCGAAGTATTTTTACTTTAAAAGCCAACTACAAAACGCCGAGACATGCAAATTCATGTCAAAACTAACACTCTTTTGTCTTTTTATTTAAGACAACCATAAGAAGAATACACCATACGTGTTTGAGAAGCAAAACACTTACATTTAAAAGGCTGATAGCTAAAGTTTTCAGCTGAACTTGTTGCCATGGTGCGCTGCAGTCATCTGTACCTTCACTCACCGTTTTCCTGTGTGTACAACTAATTTCTTACTGCCACCTGCAGGGCTGGAGGACATGCAGAGTCTCGTGTCTTTCTCAAGAAACAAATTCAATATTTGAACAAATGAAATCAAAGTTTAAATACCAGATGCAAAATTAATCAAGCAAAAATGAAGAGGTACAATTTGAGCGATTCTGATTCATGTGGGGGTGGAGAAAAATAAGGAAGCAGATTTTAAAAATATATATATTGTTTTGTTTTATGAGAACAACAGAAGTAGAAAACAATACAGTAGGCTAGTAGGCTGTAATAATATCTGTAATATACAAGAGCAAATAGGGTACACCTTTATGCAACAAACTCTCACAATGTTATAGGCTCTAATAGCTTTTTTTACCTTAACGATTGTGTAAAACAAGTTTGAAATAATTTTTACATTTGATTTGGAGTCAGACCATGTGAAACTTTCCAATTAAAATTGTGTTTCCAAGTTAGTATTATTTTTGTTATTATTATGTACTTTGTTATTTTCTTGTTGTTTTGTTTTGCGTTTATTAATGCAAAACTAATAAAATAGGCTACTTTTAACAAATGTGTTTCCCCTTAAAACAATAACAGTTGTGTTTCCCATTACAACGAAACATGCTTTACCGTTGTCATTGAAGTGTATCATTGTGTCAAACTCTCGAGAAATTGTCGAGGAAAACATTTCGGCAAAGCGAGTAATGGAAAGGATTGAAGTTGGTATGCAAATAAATCGCATAGCATAGCCTATAAAATATTAGATCCATTATCAATGAAGGTGCAAATGCATAAAATGGCAACACTGACCGTTGTGATACAGAAGCAGGGTAGACATTCCAGGTTGTCAGGGATCATGAATGTAAATATAAACACCTACTATTATCAGGTAACTGATTCGGCTACATGTAATCTGGATTACATAATCAGATTCCAAAAATTAAGTATACTTCTAAGTAGAGTAAATTACATTTTAAAATAAAATCAGACTACAATTACTTTTTTATAGATTACATGATTACATATTATTCACACAATGGCAATAAATTATTCATCATTTTTTTATTCTAATTCCTCTGTTTCATTTTTGAAATGTTCCTTTCTAAAATAGCCTGCCGCTTATATACACTCAGAAAGTCCTGTTTTGGCATTCAAATATATATTAGTCATTAGTCAGGTGGCTACACAGCATTTGACCATTAGATTTGCAAAAAAATATTTCAGGTTTAAGAAGTGTTTCAACATTGCATCAACTACTGATGAACACATTCATTTTTATTTGAATTAGCAATCAGTAGGTTATTTAACCATGTATTATTAGGTATTATTTAGAGGCTTTTGTCTTTCAAACTCATTTACATGTAGGCTAATGCAGACATTCCCAAACTTTTTGTCATCTGAACCTCTTTCACCTAATGCATTTACTTTAAAGGGGTGGTCAACTAGCTATTTTCGAAAGTTTGATTGTGTTTATGGGGGGCACTGTAACATGTGTTCATGCTTCCTTTAAAACAAAATTGCATTATTTTTCATATATTTTACCGCTGATTCCGTTCTCTTAAAAACGGTTGACTTCCTGGTTCTGTGAAGCCCTTTCCTCAGAAAAGTGAAATTATAATCAAGGACCCCTTTTTACCCCTGAGATTTTAAAATAAATATTTTAATCACATTTGCGTGTTCTCTGACATTGGTTAATGGTCATATGGCATGCAGGTAGACAAAATTTGATTTGTTTTAATTTGATTGTTATTTTTAAATTATTTATTTTAATTTTACATGATTTATGATTTAATTAATTGTTAGCTTTTCATTAAACTCACAAACCCCCTGCAGTTCTTTACGAAACCCAGTTTGGGGAACCTTATGTAATGTTTAATACACTTCATGTTTTCAATTACAATGAATGGAATATATTTTCTTACTCTTTGTATTTTTATATCATTATGGTACAAGATTATCCTATTTACATCAATGTGATAAACATGTTAGGACAAAAGTAGCCTAATCTAAAAGTAATCAAAAAGTAGTCTGATTACATTAGCCTAACGTTACCTAAAATGTGTAATGTAATGGATTACGTTACTGACTACAATCAAGTAATTTGGAATCAGTTAACGGACTATAATTTGTAAATAATCTACCCAGCGCTGATAATTTAACAGTAGGTGGCATTGATGAGTTTTTTTAGTTTTAGTGGTTAGAATCCGACAACCAAGAGTACTGTGTTTTCTGACCTCCAGATGTCGCTGTTTCTCTGTAATCGTTACACTCTGATCTCTAGCAGGAACTGACGTTTGTGTCTACGACTACATGAGCAAATTTTCCAGCTGGAGGAAAATGTCCAGCGTCAAAGATCGGAGAGTCTGAAAGGTGGGAATCGTTATTTATTCACACATACTCTTACAATTCATTTAAGTTTATCCGTCAGCTCTATTTGTCCGCCTACCGGAAGTATAGTATGTTTGTCTGAGTATTTGCGCTGTTTGTTTTTCTTCTGCTTGTGTTTTCACTTTTGTTGGCGCGTGAAGTGCGCCGAAATGCCGAAATATTTGCACAAACATTGCGTAAAAGTTTCGGAAACAACTTTCTACGAGGGATCTTGTGTTGTAGTGTTAAGGCGTAGGTTTATGAGATGTTTTACAGTGTCGTGGCAGAATATTTACTGTGCTGACAGCAATATTTGATTAGAAATATTAATTTGCGTTTAGTCTAGAGACTGGTGTCATGGTAACGTGGCTTCTTTGATTATCTATTTTGTTGCATACTTTGCATCCTTTATAAACTTTGGTTTAATTTTTGAAATGTCTATCAAACAGGTAAGTCGGGGTTGCAGTTCTATTTTGATGACTTAAATTGAACAATATTTCATATAACACACGCAATAAATTCCTGCTGAGTTCAGAACAGGTTAATGAAGTTCAGTGTTGAAGCTCAAGTCTCTGCTGCACCTTCACTAAAAGGATAAAACCTATAACACTTCTTTATCCAATAGGATTTTAAATTAATTCTGTCATTCTCTCATCTGTTTTTAAAGTTAAAATCTTATTGCTGAAGTTTTTATGCAAGGGAATATAATGCATCCCGCTGCATTATTTACTTGGTCTGCAATTCCACATTTTTTTTCTCATTTCCAACAAGCTGAAATAGCACAGTTGATAGTATGTGTAATAATTATAGTCTCTGAATGGTTCTAATAGGAATAAAAACTCTTTTGTATGCCACTTGGAGTTAATGTTATTGTGGTAACTGACTGGAGAAGCAGGTTTTGTCTTGTTTTTTGCCTTTTGCCAAGGATAACTGAAACAGGCTTGTGTAATTTTGTGGATTCAGCACATATGGCTTCTTTAAAAGTTCAACTGAAATGGTGGCATGCAATCGTGTTGTTCCTGCAGTGTTGCGTCATTGTATTTATATGCATGAATCATGTGCCTTGGGTATGCTAGCTGGATATGCATATGCAACTTATGTTTTGTCTTTCCTGCAGTTGTTTTCTGTCACGTAAACACACTATATTGTGTTTACTGTAAACGGAATATGTGTAATGACAGCTTTCACACATTACAAATGCTGTATTGTTTTGTCTGTCATCCATTTACCCTTCTGGACATTCTCACCGTCTTGGGAACTATTTGTCTTCCCTTGACAAGTTTTTCAAGTTCTTGGAAAAGCATCTCAAACTAAACTCTGCGTATTTCAGACTCATGCTTTGTGTTCCGTCTATTTCTGAGGCGTAAAAGTCAACCGATGTTCATTAACTGACACGCTGTCATTTAAAAGTCATATGCTTTATCTAGTTATTCATTTCTGTCTTGAGCGTGACTTCTGAACTTTGAACAGCTTGCACTGAGGTTTGAGCTGCAAAGATTTGATAACTTGGAGAGCACAGAATATGCCACCTGCTTTTATACTTCTGACATAAAAAAATATAAGGAGAAACAGTAACTAGATGTTGCGCTCCATATGTTTTAACCATTTGCCCTGTTATCATTTTACATAGTATATTTTGAACCAGAAAACAGATCTTCAAGAATAACAAAGATCTGTTGGGTTGTAAGTCAATAAAATACTCTTTTTATAGAAGGTTTAACACTATAAAATGTAACATTTTATATATATTTTAATATATTTTTTTATGTAACAAGTGCAAAGTCTCGTCAGTTTTGAGCTCACAGATCTTCATGATTTCATAATGTAGCATATTAAATATTTAAGCATCATCTTTTTGCACAATTGATGCCTTACTGATAAGACGTGCTTGGTCTCTTCTGTGAACAATGGTCAGAAGAGACTGACCCCTCTGGATTGCATGCTAGATTCCTCACTGTACACAATGGCCTTGATGGAGTATTGATAGCCAGACTTGGCAGCATTGATGCCTTTGTAAAACTAAATCAAATTGTATGACCATTTTCCAACATATCTTGGTGTGTGGCGTGTTGTTCTTGGATTATTAGTGGTAGAGGTTGGCGGTATCACAAATCTTTTATCACTGTATGAGTAATTTTATATTATGGTAATTATATAGATAAGGCTTTAATTATTATTGCTGGAAATTCAACAAAAAATATTTATATAGCTATTAAATAACAGTGTGATTTTTTTTTTTATAGACTTTTTTACATCATTCATTCAATTGTTTTCTGTTTTTTTAAAGGGGTCATAGGATGCCCATTTTCCACAAGTTAATGATTCTTTAGATTCTTAATGAAAAGTCTGTAACATAGTTTGGTT